GTGAAGCATAGGCGCAAGTTTCAAGTCAATCAGAGATCAATTGGCGATTAGGGAGAAGAAACTCGGGCATGACCTGAAGAAGAATGGATTTCTACCTAACTTTATGGACAACGAATCATGCAAGCTTGTCATAAAAAGAAAGAGGACGAGACTACAAGCGTCTGGGATCAAACGGCGACTGATTCGGAGTCGGACGAGGGAGAAACGAAGCATTGAATATAGGGGAACATGTTCGGCAGTAAAAACACGGGCGCGCCTAAATCAAAACACGGCGTGCCCATATTTAGGCATGACCGTTTTTGACCGACGCGCCCGAGCGTGTTTTTAACACGGGGCAAACACACGGGCGGGCAAAAGCAAAATACGGCCGTGCCCTCGACCGTGTTTTGCCCAGAATCGGGTTTTTTAACCCAAATTCGAGCCAAAGGAGAGGGAGAGCTGGGTTTTGGATCCCAAACACCCAAGGGACGAACCAAAGAGAGAGAGGGCGATTTGAGGGCATTCTTGGAGTGGAATTGGAGGATTTCTTTGCCTTGGAAGCTCGAGGAACAAGCCCAGACTTGAAGGCTGATCATCTGAATTCTTACTGCAGTCTCTCTCTTCTCTATGGAGTAACTTCCCTTCACTTAGGTTTTGAGGAACCCTAGCTATGTTTGTTTGATTGGATGATTGTATGAGTACTCTTACTTGATAAACTTGAGTTCATATTCAATCTATGATGTTTTCATGATTCAATTCTGCTTTAGCGAGATTATTGATTCTGCTTTGATCCTATGAGAGCGAATACCTTATTAGGTCAATAGAGCACCATAGATTGATAGTAGTGGATTGATTGCTTTAGTCGAGGGTTGATTCACTTCTTTGTATCGATTGAGAACCTCATTCGATAGAGGGAATCTAGTTCAGAATGCCTTGATCGTTGTTCTAGAGAAGGATACGTCCTCTAGGCAATTGACTCAAGAGGGCCTTGTTCCTTTAGTCGAGACTCAAGATCTAGTTAAGGATTCTCCGCATTGTGAATGAAAGTGAAACAGGTTAGAGATCATCAATCATTAATCTGGCTAGTGGCTAGGGGGAATCATACCTAAGTGAGTTCCCAACCTGTAATTAGATTAACTTTAACTGTAGTTTGTTAGAGTAGTTTTAGTTCTTCCATCTTAATCTGGTTTGCTAGATAATGAACTGAAGCTGAGTAATAGTAACTCTAGAGACCTGTGGATTCGATATTTATTACTTGAGCCACTATAATGCAGTCCCTTTCATTGGTTACACTTGGCTTTGTTAGGAGTTGTGTCATAGCGAGTCAGGAACTTGTCTTTGCATTCCAATGCACCCTCCGTCTCCTAATTTCACCCTCTGTCTTGTTCAAATTCACTCTCTATCTCCTAATTTCCACAGTAAGCGCCTCCACCATCATTAAACATCTTCCACCGCTCTACCCAGGAGTTGGAGGACAATCCTCATTCTCTCCGTGGAACTTGACCCCTTACCCGTAAATATGGAAGATTAAGGACATAGGTGAAACATGACTTCGGTTCACGCTGGTGATGTGACCAGGGGAGGGATTGACGGTGGGCGCTCAGGTTCACGCCTGCGACGCGAACAGGGGGATCGCCGTGGCACTTTGGTTCAGGCCAGTGACAAGGGGACGTTTGGTTTAGGGCGCCGCCGAGACTGGGGGAATCAATCGGCGACGGAGCGATTGGATTTTGCCGGCGATTCTGGGGGAGCAGACACACGCTCTGTAGCCGAGATGAAAGAGCAAAGGGATTGTCTGTCTTCAATTTTGGGCGGGTGACATTGATTTTTTTTATTTATTGAATTAGCATTTCGGGTAGGTGGGTTTAGAATTAGGACTGTCTGGTTTGAGTTTGGTCATTAATTTTTTATTAATATTTTAAGTGACCAGACATGATGACTGGACAAAACTAATGTTTTTGGATGGAGATGGACAAATGAATATTTCTTTATTCTCTCAAACGTATGTTACTGAAATGTGAAAAATGAAAGATTTGTGACCGTTTTATACAAAGTGAATCGATTTTTTTACCTTTTATGCTAATTACCAAAAGATGTGCAAGCATAGTCAATGCCGAGACACATGGAGATGAGAGAGGTGACACGCACCACCTCAAATATGAAATACACACAAAAAATATAAAGAATAGTAAAATCGTAATGGAAGTCGTACTTGAAAAATTAGTGGTAGTGTATTTGTGTTGCAAGTGCAATTTAACCGTGATTCAATCATTTCATATTGCTAAAACCTTCTATCGGTTTGGCCTCCAATAAACGGATTTCGGGGTCAGGTCGTCCGTACAATATGATTTTACGAACATAGAAAAATATATTGCCAATAATTTACTGGAAGGGAGAGTCAAATAAAAGATCACCCTATTTGAACTAGCAGTTTCACCATTAAACTATCTACGACTTCATGTTCCAAATTTAACATCTAAAATATCCTTTGACATAATGTAATGCTATAAACAATTTTTTATCGCGAGAGTTACATTATTGGTGTTTGGATGATGAATGTATTTGATTATTTTTGGGTGATGTATATTTATTAGCCAATATTTTTTTGAATGATTTTTTATTAGTCAAATCTATTTAAATACTTAAAATTAGCCAAATGTTTACTTACTGTTAACTTTTCAGTTAGTAATACCGACTAAGCATGACGATGCTGAGTTGGATTCCTATGTGGCGATAGGCATACCATCATTTTCTATTTTTAATTAATAAAATGGAAAAAACCTCACCCCCTTATCCTCTCACTTTCACTCTCGTCCTCTATCAATTCAAAAATGGTGAATGAACACCCTACACTTATGTTCTTTCTCTACTCCCTTCCACTCTGGACGCACTCGTGGGAGTCGATCTTGTTCAAGCATCTTAGCACATTCGACACACTGGCCATCGATCCGACGAAGAAGCTCGAAATCATACGAGATCTAAGAGATTTCGCGGAGGGACAATGATGTGATTCCCAACGGCTGAAGAACCCCAGTCGAAATTGTCAGTTCCCCGACGGGGAATAGGAGGAAGCAACCGGGGATCTTGATAAGGCAATGGCATATTTTCTTGAGATTTCGAAGGTGAGAACGGCGACTCGCAGTATCGGCAGGCATTACGAGGCAGTGGAGGAGGAGCAAGATAAGAGAGCGGTGGAGGAGCTCATAGAAGGAAATTTGTTCCGCCGAGAATAGAGGAAGAAGAAGCGATGGAGTTGCAGGGCAGATTAGAGGTTTATTACCTTTTAAGTTTTCATTATTTTCTTTAGTGAAATGAGAGAAGTAACTTAAATTAAAATTAAAAATGTATTCATTTCTGTAGTGGACATTGAGGTGGAGCACCGTTTGAAAATCGTTAATGATATCTAATACTTTGGCACGTTACAAAAAGTTTGACTAATTAATAGTATTTTAATAGATTTGACTAATAAAAAAAATCGGAGAAATTTGGCCATTATTTTCTATAATAGGATAACATATCATGGTCGTTGTACAACATTAATAAATGAGCTTTTTCATTATCAAAGATGTTCATGGGAAGATCTATGATGGGAGCTGAGAGAATTCACTGTCGAGCACCGGCGGCTACAAAAGTTTTCCATCCTTTAAGCTGTTAAAATGGCTGCACAGGAAGAGAAGACAACTTCGATTATTTCTGATTGCAAGTGTGTTGTTGATGTTATCGGGAAGCCTCCTGAGGAATGTCCTATTGAGTTTTCCAATCGAGAAGTGCGGTTAAAGAGGCAGATCTTATTGCAAAAATGGCCAGTAACAACACTTTACTTCCGGGTAGGATAGCAAGTTTTATTTAGCCTTGTCCTACTTTTGTTTCTCTGCCGTGAGGATTTGTTTCCTCATCGGTTTCTTTTTGCAGAGTATATATCTTTGTATGAACTCTTTCCCAGTTTTTGGGTGCTGTGAATGATGTGAGTATCATGTTTCTCAAAAAAAAAAAGAGCTTTTTTACTATGTCGCACCAGCGGCGGATCCAGGATTTAGTAGAGCACTGGGCCGCATTTGAATAAAAAATTAGATATCGTAAAAGAAATACTATAATAATAACTAAGATTTTTGTTATAATGTCAATTATAAACGATGGTTTTTTAGTTTAGCAAATTCATCAATAATACATCTTCGTCCATACCAATAACATACTCTTATAGAAAATAGTTAAAAAATCAACGAGAAATTCATCGCACATTCTTTTGCGCAAATAAGTTTTCGCATGTCCCACTACTGAAAATGTTCTCTCTATTGTAGTCGTCGAAACGGATAACATCAATAATGTCTTTGCCTTTTTATTTGGTGCTTGAGAATATGCCATTATAAAGTATCTTCAAATCGACATAATAAAATATAATAGATTAATTATATACATTCAAGTTTCTAATTGACTTTCTGATTCTAATTCTAATATCATTAGTCAAAATGACAAACATATGTTTCCTTTCCATGAACGCAAGAGCAGATTGATTTGTTGGTTTTGAATGGAAGTTGAAATGAACTTTTTATCTCACGTAAATTATGTTTGATTGGATAGGCTTTTTTTCATTAATTAAAAGCTTACTATTGCATTATAATTATGTAGACATCTAACGGCCCTTTTGTTTGAAAATCCCACTAGTAAAACATTTTACCCAATTTGTTCAATAAAGAAAAAAGAAACGAGGGCTGGGCCAGCTCAATTATCACCGGATAAATGATATGGAGTGAGCTATATACAAGTTCTGGAACCAAGGGCTGGGCCGGCCCAGGTTGGCCCCCTTGGATCCGCCGCTGTGTCGCACAACATAATAGCAAAATTAACGTACATCAACATTAGTAAACAAACAAGTTGTCTTGAAAAATAAAAACAAAGCATTAGAAAACAAGAAGAAGGGGAC